AGAACCAAAAATATCTCACATTTTAAAAAGACCCTAACCCCACTAGATGAGCTACTCACGTCCCCACAGGGATTACTGAGCAGCATTCGGTCCGAACAGCCCCAACCAAGAAACAAACGCACTCCGTCCCAAAATGGAAAAGGACCCCTGGGGAGGAATAAGTCATCGGCCTGGTAGGGCATGCAGGGCCTGTCAGGAGAGGCTATTATTTCCTCCCTTCCCCACTGGAGACGGAAGGGAGATGCATTCCCTCCTGCCAAGCTAAGTAAAGACGGCTCCAGGAGAAACCACGGCATCTTAGCAAAGGAAAAACAGTTTCTCCTGCCAGGAACGAAAGGACGCCTACAGAACTGTGGAGGCCCCCAATTCCAGTGCTGTTTTGTATTTAAATGTTGGGGGTCTCATTGTGGGGAAACAGAGACAATGTGAAGTCACCATGATAACCACCTTCGGTGTACAGCTCTGTAGCATTGCACTGTGCCGACATGGCCACTGTCGACCTCTCATCCTACGTCAGGACTGTCATTGGTTTCTGTACCCCGGGATCATCACTCACATGAGACAGATCTGAGAAGAGGGTCTGGGAGCCCATGAAGGGATGTCCTCGACAGACCTTGACCTCCACAACGAGGGACAAGTAGGCTTGCCATGACTGCCCTCCAGCTGGGCAGAAACTCTGAACAGAGACAGGTGCTAAATTCTGACCTACAGTTTCCTAGAGACAGGCCTGCTGGGACGGTCTGTTTTGCGGGGGCCTGAGAAACTGTATGGTATAGTCGGTGTGTGAGGATTTGGAAGGCAAATCTCTACAAAACAGAGAGGATGTGGAAGAAGACTTGGGCATCTGGTAACTCCACATGAAGGAACATGGAGACTCGGGGAGAGACAGACACCATGAAGCCAGTCAGGCAGCCATATAACCAAGCAGTAGCAGTCCCAGCCAGGGGAAGAATCAGAGAGGATACTGTGGGGTACCAGGATGAGACACAGCTACTCTTCAGGGGAGTTCCTCAGGGGCAGAGGGTCCAGGGGAACACGACGTGGAAACACCACCAGCATCAAACTACACTAGATGGACCTCTGCCTCTGTCCCTTCTTCCCCACTCCACACAGAAAACACCCAGGTTTAGGTGAGACTCAGGGAGGAGACGTCAAAAGCCGGACCACCTTTTTCCAGCTGGCTTGAGGTAAGGGTAGGAAGCAAACTTGGAACTGAGGCTAAAAATTTTTAAATAGACCAAACTGATTCTTAAGTACTAAAATTGGGCTACTCTAATAAAGATCGCAAGAAAAGTTGTTGAATCTTGATAAAATAAATAAATAAATGATTATCAAATGGGAACAAGTCTTACAGTGTGTTATAAGAAGAAATTCAAAACTTTATATTCCAACAAGATGTAGTTTCTCGGTAGTAAACTTGTTACCTACGTGAGGGTACATGTGCTGTGAGAGGGGTGAGAATGGAGAGCAGCTACCTGGAAATAAAGGGTCTGGGAACTGAAGGGATTTTTTGAGGAAGTTTTTTATGAGAGTTTTGTTTGTTTGTTTTGTTGTTGTTGTTTTGCTATAGGGCACGTGCGCTTGCCAGACAGACAGAGAGAGACAGAGAGACAGAGAGACAGAAGGCGAGAAATCACCCCCCCCCAGGGGGGATGGCCACACCGCAATCCCTTCTCCTCCATTCTCCTCTCGGGATCTTGGGCACACACGCACACGTGCCCAGCATGAGTTTAAGCCACAGGTCCGGGACTTGAACCGCGGTCGACTACATGGGAGTCTAGCGACATAGCCATTACGCTAACTGCTGGTCCCAAGGAATTTTTTTTAAAGGTTATTGCAGTGCTCAGGGAGCTGGATCCCAAATGACCAAGCATGGTTCAATCCCCTGCCTTGACATCTTGAAAACACACCAGGCATGTGTGCATGTGTGCCTCAAACTTTGACAGGAAGCAGAAATGGAGAAGAAAACCCTGCAACATGACCGTGTCCCACAGGGGAGCATTTTTTCCTCTCTCTCTCTTCCTCTCTCTCTCTCCCCCACCCCCTTTATCTCTCTCCCTCTTCCCCTCACCCCCAGAAATTAAAAGAAAAATGTATTCTAGACCAAATAGACCTAGCACATTTACAGAACATTCCATGAAATACTTACAAAATATACTTTCCTTTCAACTGTACATTAAACATTCCCCAGGATAGATCACACGTTAGCCAAAAAAACAAGTCTTAGCCAAGGTAAGAAAATCCAGTTCATATCAAAGATCTTTTCTGACCACACTAGTATAAAACTAGAAAGCAATATTAGGAGGAACTATGGAAAATTCACGAATGTATGAAAAGTAAACAATATGTTCCTGAACAACCAATGGGTCAAAGAAGGAATTAAAAGGGAAATTTTAAAATATCTGAGACAAAGAAAAATGGAAACACAACATACCAAAAGGTATGAGATGCAGAAAAAGCAGAGATGGGGAAATTTATGCAAAAAAAAAATGCCTACATCAAAATATAAGAAGGTCTCAGGGTCAGCAGACAGTGTAGTGGTTAAGGCGCTGGACTCCCACATGGCCGACATTGGTTCAATTTCCAGGCTTGGCAACTTGAAACTCAATGCCAGGAGCATATGCATGCATTCCCAAAATCCTAAGAGGAAAATGAAGAAGGGATTGTGGTGTGGCCTCCCCCCCCAGGGGTGATTTCTCACTTCCTCTCTCTCTCTCTCTCTCTCTCTCTCTCTCTCTCTCTCTCTCTCTCTCTCTCTCTCTCTCTGCTTCCTATAGCAAAAATCTCTCTAAATAAATAAATGAAAAGCTCTCAAATAAACAACCAAATGACACACTTCAGGGAACTAGAAAAATAAGAACTAGGCCCAAAATTAGCAGAAGGAAAAAAAAAAAAAAAAGATCAAAGCAGAAATAAATGAAATAGAGGCTAGAAAAAAATAGAAAAAATAACAATGAAATGAAATTTTAGTTTTTTTAAAAAGTAAACCAACTCAACAAGCTTTTAGTTAAACTAACTAAAAAGAAAGAGAGGGAGGAGAGAAAGAGAGAGAGAGAGAAGACTCAAACAAAACCAGAGATGAAGTCAAGCATTAAAACTGTATCACAGAAGAAAAGCTCATAAGAGACTAATATCAACTATTACATGCCAACAAATTAGATAGCCTAGAAGAAATAGATAAATTCCTAAACACATACAACAACCAAGATTGAATTATGAAGGAACAGAACATCTGAACAGACCAATTATGAGTAATAAAAACTCCCCCTTCAAAGAAAAGTCCAGGACCTATCCATAATTTCTCTCCTAGGTATATATCCAAGGGAATTGAAAACACAGGTCCACATGAAAACTTGTATAGAGTCTTTATTCAAAACAGCAAAATCTGGGGAAACAACCCAAAAGTCTATCAATTGATGAATAAATACAATAAATTTTCATACAAATGAATATGTTTATGTTTACCTATTAAAAAGAAATGAAGTACTGACTCCTGCTTCAACAAGGATGAACCATGAAAATGTTAGGCTGAGTGAAAGAGGCAGACACCAAAAGCTACATGTTAAATGATTCCCCTTATATGAAATGTGCAGAATAGGTACATATATCAAGACAGAAGGTAGGCCAGTGGTTCTGAGGGCTGGAGAGGGGAGAGTGAAGGGGGACTGACTGCTGCTGGGTATGGTGTTTCCTGTAGGGCGATGAAATGTTCTGTAATTAGATAGCAGTGAGGGTTGCAGGACTGTGAATTACACTAAAAACCACTGCACTGCACACTCTAAAGGCATGAATTTTACGACATATAAATCGTATCTCAATTTTTTAAATGATAGTACTCCTGTAAAACATAAAGCCTAACTGTAGTCAATGACCTCCCGCTAAAGATGACCGGACAGGCTGGGTTCATTACTTATTGAAGCAAAGGAACACCTGTGGGAACCTTGGGACGCCTCCATAAGAAGATAGCAGAAAGGGGGGACCAGCAGTTAGCGTAATGGCTATGTCGCTGGACTCCCATGTAGTCGACCGCAGTTCGAGTCCTGGACCCGGTGGCATAAAACTCATGCCGGGCACGTGTGTGTGCGTGCCCAAGATCCCGAGAGAAGAATGGAGGAGAAGGGATTGCAGCGTGGCCATCCCCCCTGGGGGGTGATTTCTCGCTTTCTATCTCTCTGTCTCTCTCTGTCTGGCTGGCAAGCGCACGCGCCCTATAGCAAAAAAAAAAAAAAAAAAAACTCTCCGAAACAAAAAGAGGAAGATAGCAGAAAGGGTTTCAGTTTGGGTTCGTGGTGGGTGATCTTGAGAGGTTAAGGAAGCCAAGCTGAGTTCTAGATTGGATGCCATCGTTGATCAGGTTGGTAATTCTAGGGCTGGGTAACTTACTAACTTATATCTACTAGGAAGAGAGAGTGTACTGAGCCATAAGATGTAATTACTATGAAAAAAACTAACAATAAAAAGCTGTAGGTCCTCCTCATATTAGCCAGGATAGAGAACTGTTTGGCCATTTGGGGGACTTAGAGGACATTCTTTGTTTTCCTTGTGTTCATACATATTAACCGAGGGGTCTTATTCTTGCCTTGACCCATCATGGCACACAGTGGCCCTGTGTGACTGTAATGTCCTGTGACCAGAACACATTAGAACACAAGGCCTCACTGACAGTCCCAGGACAGGGCATTCATAGTCAAGGGTTACAAGGCATCAAATAGTTGAAAAATAAAAATATATTTGATAAAAGTCACTATCAACTTATTTTTTAAATTAATAAACATATGGGGAAATAACTTCTTTACACTGTAAAAGGATACCTGTCTCAGTGTCACCACAATTCTAGCATCATAAAACACCACGAATTCGTCATCTTGCAGGGGAGCTCCACCCTGGGTCTTGCTGGGCTGGAGTCATGGCGTCAACAGGGCTATGTTCCTTCTGAGGTTCTCCAGGAGCTTCTTTTCCTTGTTTCTCCAGCTTCTAGAAGCCATTTGCACCGCTGAGAATTGCCTGGTCCCCTGCCTTGAAAGCCAGCAACAGAGCTGAGATCTCCTCACTGCCTCACTCTTCTTTTCTCTCTCCCGTTCAGCAACCCCAGTGATCACAGAGGGTCCCTCCAGGCAGCCCAGCATAATCTTCCCATCTTGAGGTTCTCTGATCAGCACCCTTACCTTTGCCAGGTAACCTATCTTATTCCCAGGTGCCAGGGATTAGAATGTGGACTTCTTTCTGGGATCACAGATTATTCTTCTACCACAGAATATGAATAAAGCTATAGCAAATGTCAAAAGCTTTTGTTTTGAAATCAGAACTGAGACAAGAATGCCCACTATCACGGCTTCAGTTCAACACTGCAGTAAAATTTTCTAATCATCAATGAATGCTCCTTGAACTACACCACAGTACCAGATTCTAAAATACGAGCAATGGTCCTAAAAATGACAATCTAGGGCCAGCCAGGTGGTACAATGGTTGGGTGGCTGGATCCCACATGGCCAACTGCATGGTTCAAGTCCCACAGCCAGGACTTTCTCACTTTCTCTCTCTCCCCTGTCTCTTTCTCTGGCAAGTGCATGTTCCCTATAGCATAAACAACTAAATAAATACATTAAAAGAAAAAAAAAAAAAAAGACCATCTACTCGCAGCTCGCACACAGGGCTGCTAATTGTGCTGTACCTCCTGCCTGACGGGGACGCCATGGTGGACGCTGTCCATACAACACCGTGCTCTCCCCACAGATCCGAGACAAGGGCATGCAGTCCTCCTCAGTAAACTGTATCATTTGCAGCCGCCACAACTGGTGGGCGAGGGTTGGCACATGAGATGAGACCTGTGTACCAATTGTGATCTAAACAATTAAAGCCCGATCTATAATGACAAGAACAGTCGGTTCCTTTTGCTCTAAACCACACACAGCGAAGTGGAAGTGGGGTGTTTTACAACCAGAAGATTTAATTTCCTAAAGATGCCACAAACCTTTCAATTAGTACTTAATAAACCTCTCAGGGCAGTGAAATAATTTTCCCTAGACTCATTTCATTCTTGATACAAAAAGCGCAACCTATAATTAGCAGCACAGTCCGCTTAAACTAACATCTTCCATATGCTTAATATATGTACTTAATATATAAACATGTAACTATTTAAACTTTAAACATGTATTTGAGTTAAGAGACATACTAAGATATATACCAATCTGTAGTCCCTAAAGATTAAACACCAGAGTGAAGGTATTCCAGGAGTAGTTTTTTTTTAATTATTTATTTAATTTTATTTATTTATTTTTTAATTTGACCAGAGAGAGACAGAGAGAGGGAAAGTGAGAAAACAAGCCACCAGGTCCAGGATTTGAACCGCGATTGGTCATGTGGTAGTCCAGGGCCTCAACCACTATGCCACCCACTGGCCCCTCCAGGACTGATTAAGGAAACTAGTTAATGACATAAGCTTGAATACTTGCTACCAGCTTGAATACTTGTTTCCATTCATAAAGAAAACAAATTGAAAAATTCAAGCAAATATAAGCTATATTAGTTCTCAAAATAATTGTTAAACCAGATTAGAAAAGTAAATGTTCGTTCAATTCTAAGTTATCTAAATCTTTCTAAACCATCTGAAATGATCCAAAGCAGAAATCCTAATAGTACTGTTCCTAGAATCCAGGTCCCTTGCACCTGTATGTCTGCTCTGGAAGATGCTGAACCCCACTACGTGAATTATGAAAACAGACGACTTCATTCTCCAACTTTGTGATGCAGTTTGAAAATGACGACCCCCAGGCAGGTCTGCTTTTCCACTTCACGAGGAAATTCTTTCTTACTCCATCTTAACCCTGTTCTCTTCAGGGGAGGGGAAAATCATAGATCATCCTGTGAGGCCCTTTTATAGATACTGAACATCAGGTACCACTCAGGGAATGGAAAAAAAAAAAAAAGACTCATTTCTAAAATTAGGCAAGCAGAGCCTAGCTTTCACCACAAACCACCTTAGCTCAATGTAAAAAAAGCCCCTAAGTGAGACAGATAAAATTTAAATGTTCTTGTAGCTGAGTTTAATAGGTAGAATTTTAAAACGCTGATGAAAAGTTTTTTTGGTTGTTTTTGTTTGGTTGGTTAGTTGGTTTTGATTGGGGAGTTGTTTTGTTTTTGTTTTCTTTTTCTCTCTCCATTTTTGGGGGGAGTTTTGGGCTTGTTCGGCTGTTTCCTCCCCTCTCAAACATCTAGAAAATATTGAACATTAAGAAAAACGTGGGAAAGGATCGTGGCAGTGGGCTATCCTTGTTTCCGGATGAAGCCAGTTTGTCCCTCCTCTGCACCGAGCCTTCCTCTGGCTCCTCCTCACATCTACAGAGAAGCTCCTTAGAGAGACCCCTCCGGCCTGCGAGACGTGACTCGCTCCTGCTCCTGCTGTGACCTCCTCTCATTGCACTGCCGGGTCAGCGACCCTCCTCACACGGGCTCTTCCGCTGTCCTTAAACAGGCCGAGCTCGTACATGCCTCAGGACCTTAGCATCTGCCACACTGCTTCTTCCTGAAATGCCTTCCCGGAGGCCAAGCGAGTCCTTCCTTCTGTCACCTGAGCCCCTGCTCAAACATCACCCACTCCAGACCTTAGCATCTGCCACACTGCTTCTTCCTGAAATGCCTTCCCGGAGGCCAAGCGAGTCCTTCCTTCTGCGTCACCCGAGCCCCTGCTCAAACATCGCCCACTCCAGAGGCACTCCCCTACAGCCCTAGCTAAGCCAGCCCCTGCCATGTTCCTGGTAAGGCTTTTTACTGCGATCCCTCGCTGTCGCTGAAATGTAAGTTCCGGGAGGCTAGGGAGGGGCGAAACACCCCAATAGTTCCTGGCACTCAGAAAATACTCAATAAATGTGTAAGTGCTTGAAATACGTGTGATTTCAATAGAGGGGGAAATCACAGACATGCCTTTCAGGTCAGTCCCCAAGTCCCTACGTTAGTTTCTAGCCCTCTACAATCATATCACCCCTTTATTTTATTCCCCTCACCCCAGTGGTGCAGTCAACCCTGCAAGTCATCTGAGAAGTGGTCAAAGTCCTTTGACTGTGATACATCTGAATTATGACATCATAAGATCGCCAAGGAGTGACTGAATTCACCAGGGGAAGACAGTCCCACGTGGGAGTCCAGAGCCTTAACCACCGTGCCACCTGCCAGCCCCAGGTGTGGGTTTTTAAGGCGTGCTTACAGTACACAACAGCCAAATCAAGGTGCGCCCACATTCTTCTTCTCGGATTAACATTACAATATATTATGCACATTTAATAAGTCTCCTTTGTTTTAATTGGTGTTAAAGGGCCTGTATTTCACTGTGCTGTGGTGTATCTCTGAGGAGCCTCTTTGTCTTACGTACCTGCATTTCGGCGTTCAGGAATCCCCACTCCCACCGTCCTGGAGCTGTTCCTGGCATCTGCCATTCTCTGCCTCTCCGTCTACGGCTCCCTGCAGTGTGGACGTCTGGTTCAGGTTGAGCCGGGACACAGGCGTCTGCCCTTCAGTCTGGCTTACTGCACTCAGCACCTGTCTCCTGCGCTCCCCCACTCCCACGGCAGGAGTGGTGTTATTGATAACCAGGTGTGTGCCCTGGTGTCCGGGCACCTCGTTTTCCCAGCCCATTCATCATCACACCGGCCATCAGCTCTTGCAGGTCCTCGCGAGTTCCCAGGCCTCCACGAGATGGTGGCGAGAGGACAAACGCTTCCTTCTCTCTTCTAAGCATAAGCTGGGCCAGGAAAGAACATTCTAGGGATCTGAATTTTGCCGCAGGCGGAAAGGCCGCCTTGAGGAAGTCTGGGAGGAGATGAACAAACGAGACCAGCGCTTGCGACTCGGGGCTTCGGGGGTCACGAGCCAGCGCTCGGCAGGGCTGCGGGGAAAGGGCGCTCTGCACCCATGTGCCTTCCCGGCTGCCTGCGCCCCCACCCCGAGTGCCCCCAGCCTGTCCGTGAACCCCAAGCGTCTGGCACCTTTGCTGTTCGTATTCTCTCTCTCCGTCGTCACCCCACAGTACCCCGAGGCCAGGGTCCTTGCGGGAGCCGTAACTGAAGTCCCGCGACACTAAGACGAGTGGCCGCCCGAGCAGGGGCTCCGCAGCTGCTGTACCCTCTGCAGGGCTCCCTGCCACCGGCGTGTGGGCACACCGCCTGGCTGACCACCTCCCGGCCTCCTGGCTTCCCTTCCTATTCCTGCCCTTGCCCCCGACCTCCGACCCCTGACCCCTGACCCCCAGCACCTGGTAGACGCGGCGCCCCACCGCCCCCACGCAGCCTGGCGCAGAGCGGGCGGAGCGCAGTGAAGGCTGGTCTGGAGCGCCCTGTGCTGGGGCTGCCCCTTCCCGTGGAGGCTGAGCACTGACTGGGGTGAGGAGAACATTTCCCCCAGGGTGACTTAGGACCGCTGTGCGGAGATCGATCCTGCTACCTGTCGAGCTGCCTCACCGCGCCCCTGCTGGGCCATGCTGCCACTCTGCAGGCCACTGCCCCATGCCCGCCGCCTGGGCCAGGCCAAAGCTGTGGGATCATCCTCCAAGCAAAGAGACTATGCCTCTCTGACTTGGAGACACTGGGTGCACCCACAGATCCCCCCTCTTCCTGGAAACCCAGAGGGAGGAGTTCAGGGGTGACCGGCAAGGACAATGGGCGGCTGCCCCCACCCCCGGGGCTGACCCGCCAACCTCCCCATTCCTGGCCAGCCCTACCTGAGCCTCTGCTGTGAGGACCACGTCTTCCCCTGGGGCTCCTCGGTGCCTCACACAGACTCTGCCCCGTTTGATAGGCACAGGCAGCCATGTCCCAACCCCAGGTGTAGCCACCCCTGGGCCCTCGCTAAAGCCGCACAGGGAGCTCACGTGTTCTGGACCCCCATGCCTTTGAACAATAATCCAGGCTAAACAGCACTCAGATTACTCTGAACTGAGCCCAGCAGGCAGAACCCGGCAAGGAGGACGGAAAGCTGAGAGCAAGCTGAGGTCACCAAGCCTGGCCAGTTCACATGAGCCCACCAAATCCCCTTTTCCTTGGGCAGGAAAGCTACTGGACCTGCAGCCTCCTGTGAGACACTTGCTCCTCTTCTAGAGACAGCTGGTCCAGGTGTCCACGCTCCCTCAGTCGTTCTGTTCTGGGAACATCCTAGGCGCAGTCCATGGTGCCCTTCCTGGACATACCAGGTCACAGGCTGGACGCCACCCCCCAGTCTCCTCGCTCTCCCAACTGCCACCATCCCAAGGGTGTAGACAGAGCAGATCTAGACTAGACATTTCAAGTAATAGAAAGAGTTGATATCACATGACCACCGGTAATTGGAACCAAATACGAACTCCTACTCTTATGGTATTCTATGAGTTTATTATTTATTATTTCCATGAGTGAGAGAAAGAGAAAGGGAGACAGAGACAGAGAGCCAGCACCCCTAACAGGGCCCCAACTCTACCATCCACCCCTGTCTCTGCCTGCCTCAGATCATGAGCACATGTGACTGATATCATCTGCCTGCCTCAGATCATGAGCACATGTGACCGATATCATCCGGAGGTCTCTGGATGCAAACCCAGAACCTTCCCATGTGCGTCAGCCTCGCTGAGTGCAGGTCCACTGCAGTGCCTCTCTCTGGCCTTTGGAGCGCTGTGACCACCGTCCGCCTGGTACTCTCCAGCCTCTTCCTCTGAGCCTCTCGTGTCATGGCCTCCCTCCTGCTCTCCTCCACCCCACCCCACCCCCGAGGCGTGTTGCTGCCTCCCTCGGAGTTCACTCTTCCTCTTTTCCAGGTGGTAACCCTGAGGCTTCACCTGCCACCCGCACAGTGGAGCTTCGCGTTACCCTTAAGCGTAGCCGTAGCGGATCTCTCCCACAGAGAAGCCTGTCATACATAGCGTTGCTTTTATTCACGGGAGCCAGAAA